GCTTCTTTAAGGAGCGTAATGAGCAAGGAGGAGCTTTGTTCTGTTGGACTAATCTCCCAGGGCAATTCATTGCCCCTCTAATGATTTACTCCCCAAGACTGATGCTATGTCCTCCCACCCTACCTTCCGCATACACGCATACAAATGGCTTTGAAACCATTACCAGCCTCATCATCTTGGGACAATTCGAAGAGAATAAGACTTGCAAATTGAAGCGGTGGTCATTTCTATCAACTTTGATTTAGGTTAACGATTGTAAATAATAATTAGTAGTTGATACTTGAACGCCTTGTCATTGAAAGCTCCCCAGTAATTACAGCACACCTAGGTCATTAATGTGAGCAGTTCCACTCATTCCAAGGCAAATGAGCAGGATTTGTGGCTGAAATCTAGGGCCTTGAGCATGCCTTAAACTTTTGCATGCCTTGAATGATCCCACTGGAAGTGTTTCTGTGCGCTCTATCACACCGGTCTTGTATGAATTACTGTTCCACCATTTCCCCTCTCAAGCTGAAAACACTGGCAGCACATGATAGATGAGTAATTTTAAAATGTAACAATTTGTTTTTGATTCTTTCAACATACATCTGTTTTAAAAATTATATTTAATTAAAAATTAGAATAAATATAGAGTTGTTGTAGTGAGCCCTGAGGAGTCTAGGATTACCACAGGAACACTAAATGTGAAATGGGCTTACTTAGTTACTGGACACTACTAGGAAGTTCAAAGTCCTTGCTACACTATTTGAACCAAAACCTATTTATTTTCTCTACTATACTGTCAGTTCTTTAAAGTTTGATTTTTGCTAAGGTTTATTAGGGAATTTATTCTGACCAAACGTTTTCTTGGGAATCTTCATGTAAAATCTGCCTATTGAAGGTTGTTTTGAAATACTAACCACTGTTTAAAGTGGGTTTTTTTTTTAATTAAACAAAAAGTAGCAGTAAACCTCAGAGATAAACATGTCCTCCCATGCTTTCTTGTTAAAACCAATTACTTCCTGCTTTCTCTTTTGATTTTTCTGCGAGGCAAAATTGGGAGGCAATGCTTTTGGGCAGATGCAATAAAACTTAACAGCTTTTTAAAACCTAATGGCTCTTGGTGTGGGAGTGTGTGTGTGTGCAAAGGGGAGGCCAGGGGTGGCGCTTTTGGGGGGAGAGAGGAGACTATCATGTTGCCCTTTACCTGACTCTGTTGAACCACTGTGGTTTCTCAGAAGCGTGCATTAAATCTCAAGAACATTAGAACATAATAATAAACCTTTTTTTTTGTTTGTTTGCTTAGTTCTATCAATATAAATTACAGATTTTCTCAACTTCCTTACTTCTTAAATGAGTTTTACAGTTTCTCCTGTTGTTGTATTTATGCCAAGGGTATGATCAAATCCAGTATTCTTATAGCACATTAGTGACTGAAACCTCTTAGCTGCATTCTAACCATAACTTAGCATGAGTAAGGTGAGTAAAGCTGGTAAATCACACCTCTTTGAAAGACATCATCCAGAAAGTGCTAATGTTCCCTTACCTGCATGTTGTTTCATATCTCTGTGGTTCAGTTCCCCATTTATAAAACACAGATGAAAGCATTCCCTTGCATCAGAAGAGCATTATGAGCCTACACACATTCATAAACGTGATGAGTTACATAAAGATGTTCATAAACATATTGCTGAGAAAGTAGTGTTATAAATGGCTTCAGGAAAATGGGCCTGTCTATCTAATGGTTAAAACCATTTTCAAAACAGTTACTAAGATTACGGTTTTCATCTTTTTGATACACATATTATACCAGGAAAATGCAGCTGTCTGGATCTTGTAAAGATGATGTATAACTCTCTTATCCATAAGCTCATGGAAATTTTACCCTGGGTCACTGTTGTCAAATATCAGTTTCATATTCTATGTTTGGCTAGAGATAATTTACAGACTCACCTGCACATTTTGTGTAGCCCACTGGCACCATTATGTAGGCATTTCTCCATGTGTTTTTTGAAGGAAATGAAGGCTTCTAGGATGCTTGAGGCACTCAGGGTCAAAGAGCAGGAGAAGAGGGAATTTTAAGAGGTTGGAATTGTCTAAATGTAGGTTCTTTGTGCAAGGTAAATCCAAGGCCAAGGTAAGCAAAAGAAAGCAAACAAGAAAAATCAAATGTTAAGGTTAAATCTGACAGGCAAAATTGTGTATAGAAATTATGCTAATACTTTGGGTATATCCTTATGATTCTTCCTGTTGTCAAAAATATGGGAGTAATTGGAAAATTCCCCTTCATTGGGGTTAATTAGAGAGAGATTCTTTGTGTGCATACTTGGGAACCTAATATTTTTCCCAGGTTTGTATCATATTGCAACTGTCTGTCGACACTGCTCAGCCAATGTGATTCTCTGAACCAACAGGATTTTCTTTGTGATGAGAACAAACAAGTCATCCAGTAAAAAGAACTGGTATACTCAATCTGTACAAGGTCTCACTTTATAAAACTGAGCGTGGGTGCTTATGTATTTTGTCCTTGGAGTATGTCTGTTTTCAATGCAGGTAAACCCCATGTGTTGGGTTACGGTGTACCACACTATCATAGTAGATGTGTCTTGGTCTCTTATTGGCATTGTCCAGTCAAGCAAATATAAATTGTGACTTACTAATTGGTGTTTAAAAAAATCCATTTCCAAGTCAAGTTCAAAATGAGAATATAATGCCTTTTTTTTCAAGACCTGCATATTTCAAGGAGAGGTCATGCCTGGTACTGTCACAAAGTAAGAGTTAATTTGTTGTTAGTGGGCTAATGATGTTGAAAGGACAATAGCTTTGGGGCTCAATGTTGTCTCTGCATAAGAAGATTAGAGTGGTGAAGAGCACATCTATTTAGTATTTTCCCTACCCAGTCCTAGTTGTGTCCAGACAGCACTTCACACTCTGTGGCTCCACACCTGGAGTGACCCCTCCTGGTACCTCTGTGCCTTTGTCACCCTAGGCAGTGTCTTGTCTCACAAACTGACAGCCCAAGAGAAGGCAGAAGAGTGTCTATGATAAGACACTGCCTTCTTCACCTGTATGCATGAGGCTGAGGGGGAGAAATGTGTAAATGCATCTCTCTGGGGCTGTAGGTCGTGACATGCTGGCCACACACAAAAATTTTCCACATAGTCTGAATGAAAACAGTGTGGAGGAGAGCTCCCTAACAGCCAGTGTGAAAATGTTATAGAAATAACTTTTTTCTCCAAGTGATTTGTGCAATGTTTCAGGATAACTATGATTGAGGTTTTCAGCTATTTTCTTCTGGGATTAATTAAACACTGCTGTAAGAGGCAGAGGTAAGAATATGTGTCTGAATACTCGATGCTTTAACCTTAATGATGAACATGGTATCTCCTCTGTTTTCTTGAAGGTTTATACCTATTTCCCTGGTATATCAGCTTCACCTTTTTTTTTTTATACTTAACGGCCTTCACATGCTTCTCCTTGTCTTCCCTGTTCTAGCACTTCCATGTCATGCACTGCATCTCTGCCCACATGTGTTCAGAAAATGGGCATTAGCAAGTCTGGCAGTGATGTATATATTTTGGTGTTATGTTTAAAGAATAAGCAGATGTAGAGAAAGATTTAAAATTAATTTTGAAATTAAATCTAAGATACCATAAACCCAAACATTATAAATTCACAGAGCCTTTAGAACAACTGTGATTCCATGAAAAACATTTATCCAGTTAATGTCCCTACAGAGATTTTTAACTTGGAACAATAATCAAGGAACTCTGCTTATTAATACTGAAATTAGAGATAACAATATGTATTTCCACAACTGTACAAGGAAAAACATTTCCTCTCAGACTGGTCATGCAGCCTCTATTTTCTTTGCTCCTCTTACCCATACTGAGGGCACATGGTCCTGTTCCATGCCAGTCTTATCTGTTTTCAGGATTTTTCAGTGGTTGGAAAAGGTGCCTGTAGATTTGGCTCTTTCTACCTTAAAATTTTCCAACATTGCCCCCAAAGACTTTGGCTCTCCACATACTCCCACCCTATTCTCATGCTTTACCCAGGGTGTGCAAAGACACCACTTCTGCCAAGCGAAGAAAACTTCCCTCCAATTGGCTGCAAACCAGCCCTCAACAGAGAAACAAGATCAATCCCTTTGCCCCTGTTCCCACCCCACAAGAGTTGTTATGCCTTAAGGACATGGCAAGAGGCTAAGGTCTCTATAGTGCAGCTGCAGTTAGTTAGTACAACTAACTCAAAGGCAGAGAGTTGTCCTTGTCCCTGTTTCATTTAAGAAGAGATTACATGACTAGTGTTGGGCTGCTACATCTCCAGGCTTAGCCTGCTGTACATTTTCATTTGGCCTTTGTGACCTATAAGTTCATCTATTTCTGCAGGTCTTTTGGCTGTGCATCACTATCCTTTCCTTTAAATCAGTTCTACATGACAACATCCTGAAGCGGCACTTCCCAAGTCAGATTGGTCCAGATACATAGTTTGCCAAAGTAAACAGTAAATTTAAATCCTCTGCTTCTCTTCTTCCATTAGTTGAGTCAGAATAGCATCTGCATCCCTATGAAACAGCAGAGTCAAATCCAGCCACCTGCATCACTGCAAATACACGTGCCATCTGTTTCTTATTAAGGGCTGTCAAATTCGCATCATTCAGGACTGTGTCTTTGCTGCCAGAGAAGCTGTTCGGGAAGTGGAACTGGAAAAATAATGAATGCCAAGAAGATAATCAGAGAAATGTGTTAGTTTTAATTCTCACATAATTTTTATAGTTTCATGTAGATATGCTACAATCATGAGGAGAAAATGGCAAGAGATGACTTTCGCGTCCTGAGACATCTGCCTGTAGTACAAAACAGTTAATATGAACAAAGGCAGAACTTGGAAGAGGCAAAGGATTACCAGGAAAACCAGTGTAACTAGTTATAGTAAGATAAGGTGAGGTGGTGTTGCTATGCTTAACCATTCTGTTGTTTCCTGCAAGTGAGGAAGGTAGATTAATATAATATTGATCTTGGTATCAAACAGATTTGTAAATCATCAGGCTGCCCCCATACATCAGAAACATTCAGAACCATGAAGGAGAGAGGACCCTGATAACCACCAAAAGACTGGGACGAGGTGGGCCTGACCTTGATGAGGAGTTCAGCTAAGTTACTGGCGCCTGATTTTCCTCCCAAATCTGAAAGG